AAGAATGATGCTTTTGGGTAGTTGATCCCATTATTTTTGGTTGGAAAACAACAGTTTCTGATTATACTGAGCTTCAAACTTTTTCTTTTGATTAATAAAAATCTTCTTGGCCAGTACTTTTAAAAATCATGCTCTTTTTTCTTGGTCCAAGACAGTTCACTCTCTGGACCCAATATGAATGCCTTCAGATACTTCTCTTAATTAAATATGTGATATAATATCAATAGGTGCCTACTAAATATTTAGTAGTCAATTGATATAATGAAAATGGTACTAAATCGAGTTGAGTTTTGAATTTCTATAGGTGAGTGTTGTTGCTACCTTTTCTCATGCCTCTGGCCATCTTTTTTTGTCATTTTGTTCCTTAGTCATATTTGTGCTCTGTGGTAGAAATGTGTTAAATCACAATGAAAAACATGCTTTCATTATGCCCCTAATCTTTTTCCTGATTATTTTCAGGATCTTTAAGGTGTCTAAAGCCTGGAAAATATTTAAAATCTTAGTTTGAAACTTAGTAATCCAGTCAGTTTGTTAACTGAATCTTATGAAGAACTGGACAAGATGAGAAACCATAGCAAGTTTCATGATAATTCAGTGAGTAAGGGAAGGCCTTTTACAGGGGAGGTATTTTTGCTCTTTTTCTAAACAATTAGTCTTCTACTTATAATAAAGGGCATCTGGCTAGATTTGGGTATGTGAAGACTCCTGTCAAGAAGGCAGAATTTAAAGATATTTTGCATATGAAAATAGTAGGAGCTGTTGCTAGGTCTTTGTCCTATGCAACAAAGGAAACCAAAGGGCGTCCAGGGCTAAGAAGGAATAGAAAAGACTGAGATTGACTTGAGCATGGTGTTGGTACTTCCTACCAAGGACGTGTGAGGCCAACAGTGCCAAGACTGGGTAGAGAGCAGCAGGCAGAGGTGAGCCTGGACCTATTACCAAATAATCCCAGCTTGGAGTCTGACTCACACTTACGGTCGGGTCTGACTTCAGTCTTGGAGCCCTCCCCATTCTGCTGTCTTCCACAGCACATGATTCAGCTGAGTCCTGTGTTCTGAGGACACTGCTCTGTCTAGGGGCACTTGTGTCTATTTGACTTGGTCTGATGGACACTTAAGATAACCTGAGAGCTATTGCAAGGTACACAGGGGTTTGCAACCCATGGGAAGTTCTCACCACTCTTTAGCCTGATGGGATTGCTGTTCATATTCATGACATTTTGAGAACCTTTAGAAAGCGGGGAATTGCAAGTTGACTAAAACATTGTTTTATGGACAGTCTTTGGCAGGGAGAGCCCCTGAGAAGCATAGTCCATGTGTCCAGTACACATTCTGGGCTACCTTGGGTTCCTGCATGCTGGCTGTCAACCACTTCCTTGCTTTGCTTTTAGTGGAAGAGTTTGGAATTGCAGTTCATGGGGTTTTTGCAAGTGGTAAATTGGGAAACTTTGCCTGGCATTGCTGGGTCTGGGCTTCAGGAATGCTCTCTACCCCCTCCATTTTTCTCATTGTTTCGGTAATTCTGCTGGCAACTGTGTGGAGAAACAAATGTCTATAATGGTTACAGCCAGTTGTTTAGTTACTGTCTTGACCTTCAGGTCTACCTAGGCCTGCACATTGGCTGCTTCACACTCCTTTCTCCAACAATATCAACCTCATACTCTTCCTGGTTATTTTTCTTTAGGGTGGTCTTGTATATAAATACAACTTCCTTTGTGCCATTTCTGTCGTTGAATTCACATGTATTTCTTACATGGAACCATTTGGCTTTTCCTAAACTTTGGTTGCCATGACTTTTTCTTGTCTGCCTGGAGGTGTCCCCATGATGTGTGGCCACCTATGCCTCTGTGCCAATGCTACTCACTGTGGGACCAGCCTTATGCAAGGTGCAGCTAGGTCTGGTGTTGCTGCTCCTGGTTGTGGTGATGGTGATTAATAGGGGTGTGATGGTACCAGGTAACTGGTGGTAGTGATCTACTTAGGGCTCTCCAAGGTCTGCTCTGCACTGCCACTGCTGATCAGACTCCATGTATAGCTTTTAACTGCCCCCCAAAACAGAGCTACTAAGTGTCTACCTTTGGGCATAAGCCTCATCAATAACATAAACTGGCGAATAACACATATTGTATGTTATACGTGTTATAGATGGTAAAAATATTTGTGAACCATTGAGAGATCCCTTTTTACTGTGACATACATTTTGCTGGAGAGACAACTGCTTTTGAATGCTCTAGGCAGTTACTCCCAACACTTCTGCCCACTACAGTTGCAACAGAAGATAGTTGTGACATGAGTTCAGTAGTGCAGAGGCCACTATGATTTTATGCATTTATGATTTATTGCCACATATTTATTTTAGTGCACATTTCTCTTGGCTATATATGGTGCTATGTACAGTCTGTGCTTTTGTGCTAAGTTTTGATACATTTTAACTTGTAATAGACTTCTGTGGTTGTAAATGATAAAATGAACCCATAGCTGTATATGTACTTTGCATTCATGATATATCTTATTTTTCTTATTCTTTTGATATTTCTAAGGTTATATGTTCATGTGGAAGATTGTTCAAATTGCCACGTATATCCTTCCTTAGATCCACAAACAAGTGGGTCTCCATGCAGCTGAAAATCTGGTCCTGTATATTATTTCATAGGGATGGTGGGGGGAATATTTGATACCTTGAATTTATTGCCCATGTATTACTCAGTCACTCATTCATTTATCCAGCAAAAGTGTACCAAGTGCCTTTGGGTGCTGTGTCCTGAGCTAGCTACTGGGGCTGCTATACACAAAAGTATTTTTAAGACTTTGAGTCTGTCCATTCCATACTGGCTATCTACTCTCACCCCAAAGGCATTGAGTTTCTACAGTTAAATGTTCACAGCTGCCTCCTACTTACTTAAACCATACAAAAAACATTAGTAAACAGACAGTAAAAAGATCTGAGGTGCTCCATAATGTGGTGATGGAATGGAAAGACAAGGGTAACAGAATATGAACTAGAATTGCAAACTGCCAGCCAGTGCTCTCTAAGGATCATTAAAAAAAAATAAAGAAATCCTATTTGAGGCTGCCAACCTCAGAACTGTTATTTAGAATGGAAAAAGTTGGCAAATTCAGACATACTCAACCCAAGGAGCCGATATTTTGTGACGGTTATGGCAAAAGTAGCTTGAGAACCAGCACTGCAAACTTGTGTACAATATTAATGAGCGAGGAGAGCAGGGAAGGACTATAAAATCCAAGATAAAAGCCAAGCCAAGGCTGTGAGGTGAGCAGGCATGAGACTCAGTATGGCCTGGTTATCTGGGTGGGCAGGGAAGCAGGGAACAGGAACTGCCTTAACCTACAGACACCCAGAGCTATCTACAGTTTCTGTATCTCATTCAAGTTTTGTTTGTTGGGAAAATCACTGAGAACCCTCCCTCCATCTGTCCTTCCACTCTGTCAATCTCTCCTCCCTGGCCGTCTTTGAACACTGTTCACTTCAGTGTATTCTTGGGTGCCAACGCTGAACCCGGTACTGTGCTGGGCTCAAACCACGCAGCCCATTTCCCTCTGCCACCTTCATTTGCTTGCACTGCCTGAGACATCCAGGGCGAATGTAGCTACTTGGTCAGAGGTGGTATCCAAAGTTATCCTCACCCTCCGTATTGCTTGTCTGCATTTTCCCCTCAAGTCATCTCCACTGAGGCCTTTGCTTGCACTCACGTCATTCACCCCAGCTGCTCCAGATTCCTTCTTGACTTTATTCTTTTATCTACTTCTCTATGTCTTCAACCATTTCCTCTCTTTTGGTCCCTTCAGTCTACCTGAAGCCTCTGCTAATCCCTTCTATTTGGAAAAAACCCTAAAACCGAACAAACACCCTTATCTTATATTCTTTGCCTACCATCCTTCCTCTTTCCTTTCCCAGTCACATTAAATTGTCAAGGAAATGTCACTTCGTCTCTTCACATTCAGCTGCTCTCCACTCCTGGATTTGGTTTGTGCCACTGCCATTCCTTTGCAATCCCTCGCTCAGTATCTTCTTGTTCAAATCCAAATTTATTTTGTCAGTTCCGTTTTACTGGGCTTCTCTCCCCCATTTGGCATTACTTGATCACTTCTGTCCTTAATGCTTTCCAAAAGGTTTGTATGTGTCTGTTTTGTTGCCCGGCCCCCAATCTCTCTCCTCCTCTCTTTGCGACAGGGTCTCGCCACACGGTTCAGGCTGGCCTTGGACTCTTTGCAGCCCAGGTTTTGAACTCACAACGATCCTCCTGCCTCAGCCTCCTGAGTGCCTTGCTTCTCTTAGAACCAAACTTTTTTGCTGTTCATTTTTAGTTTAATTTTGGGGATATAGTTCTTTCATAAAACCTTTAAAGGTTGAGATGACCACAGGGTTTCTCTACATTTCTCATTCCACATGTTCTCAAAGAGGTCTGTTTAATAATGAAGAATAACATCCTCAAATTATAAAATCCAGTTATAAAGATTTAAAGTTACCTGGTAACAAAGATGGAAAAAAAATCTGAGTTAATTTTCAACATGTGTTCTGCATTGTCATCAGGTGCTCTGAATTCCAAATGTTTGAGCAGTTTTGTGCTTTGTCTCCATTTCCTAACGACTTTCTGAAGGGTCTTGAATTGGAATGAGCAGTGGCCTGTAATGATTCTGAACTAATTGTGAATCCTTGAGAAAATGAAGAAGTCTATTAGAGTCCAGCTAATTTCATTTTGTCATTTTTCTGGGTAGTATATTCTGGAGTAGACAGTCTGTTTCTTAAGCAAGTTTGTGATAAGCAATTTTTCTTCAAGGTTAGTATAATAGGCAAACACCTTTCGCTGCAACAGACAGCAAGAGGTACTGAAAGATTGGCTTACATTATGATTCATTATTTCAAAATGTCAGAATAAAGTGGATTGGCGTCGGCTTATTCTTTAGAAGGGAGTTCATGTTTTGCTTTTATAATGCTAATGGACTCACTGTTTTTTTTTCTTTCTCTACTCGTTTTTCCAGGCCAAATTCAGGTAACCGACGCCAGAGTGGGCGAGAGAGATTGGCCAGTACCAGCGACAAGGGAAGCATAACCCTGGAATCTGCCAAGGAGACCCGCTACTGCGCAGTGTGCAATGACTACGCGTCTGGCTACCATTATGGGGTCTGGTCCTGTGAGGGCTGCAAGGCCTTCTTCAAGAGAAGTATTCAAGGTAGTAGTGTGTTGAAAACAACTTACTCTCTGTTGGCCATAAGAGCACAAGTAGCCGGGGAAGGAAGGTGTAATCAGCCATCTATATAAAACAGTAACACCTAAGTAGGGCCACTGGTATCCTGGGTAGAAATGTGGAGAAGAGACAGAATCCAGGAGGAGTTGGCAGAGGGGAGGGCAGCTGTGCTGAGTAATTCTGCTTCCTCCCTTTGGAAAGATCCAGACAGTCTTGAGCCAGCTCTCGTGGTGGAAGATTTTGGTAGCCAGGTCTCTGAGGCAAAGAGAGCTGAGTCTCTGGCCTGACTGAGGTATGGCAGGGAACAATCATATTCTATCAGCAGCTCTGCTAGGATGATGTGGCCTGGGCTGCAAACCTGGGTTGCAAACCTGGGTTGTCTGTGCATAATTCTTTCTCTGTCTTGGCCTTGTTCTGATCTTTGCTCTAGACCAATTCTAATTCAGCTTGTTCTCTCTCTTCCATCTCTTTCTTGTCTCAGTGGATGACATGACCTTTTGCTAACATGAGCGGATTCACTGACTGGTGGCTTGTAATAGGGAGGTATCATCTGTACCAAGTAGTTATTAAGTATCCCACAGAAACATTTTGTTCCCCTGTCTACCTCAATCTTTTTGTTGTATAGAATTTATCAAGTGTAGCTTCTCTGATATTCTTCCAGCTACATTTTATTTCCACTCTAGGGATTTCTATATTGTTGCATTTTATAGGACATACTCTCAGAAAACATCAATCATTTCTGATGAAATATGTATGCTAAAATGCTTTGTCTGACAGGAGCAGAGGTCTGATGGCATCATAGCTTTATTGAATTACTTTTTGTCACAATAATGATTTTTTTTCTGTTCTTATTTTTTTTACTTTTCCATCTTAAGTGAAATTTGTTGTACGAATACTAAGAACACTCCTGATGGAGTTTTCATGTGATTCCCTCTACAGAAGTCTAGACTTAAGTAACTTGTTGAAAACCGTAGTCTGCTAAATTAATAGACATTGATTGAAAGAGTAATTCTCTGAATTCTCTTCAGTGGCCCGTCACTGTCCTGATACGGAGTTAAAATTTTGTGGATAGTCTATGCTATTTATTTTTCCTTCCATTGTCAGTGGATTCTTTTTAAAAACTGTATCTTCATAAAGTAGCTGATAAGGTCAATGTAATCCATTTTAAAGCATCTTCTTTGATGCTTACTGCTTTCAACATCATTTAGAACTCTTTAATTATAAAGACTTGGACATGTTTTTATGTTGGTGTCTTTATAAAAATCAGCAACAATATTCTGTGTTCATCTGTGGGTATGCTAAGTACATAGGGAGACACTATTTGTATTGTCTTAATTCAGAAAAATGAAAGTTGTATCTCAGATTAGTACAAATCCTTAAAAGTGTTCCAGCAGATTCCAGTTTGTTATTTTACTGCTTGATTTTATATAATCTAAAATATCTTTATTTTCATCAAGCATTTAATGGTAGGGAAATAGAATCTGATAAAGATATGATTAGTATACAGATTCAGCTATACACTTGGAGGAGTCATTTAATCTGAGATGAGTTCCCTCATCAGTAAACATGATTTAGAGCAGTTTACACTGAATCTTTCCCATAAAGGGACAAATAGTAACTATTTTAGTGTTTGCAAGGCGCACAATCTCAGTGCAGCGACTCAGCTCTGGCATTGCAGTCTGAAAAGAGCATAGGCAAATGCAAATAAGCAGGAGAGGCTGGGTGCCAATTAAACTTTATTTGTAAAAGCAGGGAGCTGAGCAAAAGTGGCCTGTGAACCATAATTTGCTGATTCTCGATTTGATTTTATGTAATCTAAATACCATGATTTATGGAAAGGAAATATGTGGTTTTTAAATGTAAAGCTTTGATTATTCATGTTGTATTGAGAACTTACTCTTTACCAGTCTAGATATACTGAGAAAAATTGAAAAATATGTAGGATGTAATTCATAATCTAACAAAATTTAGAATTTATTTGGTATGCTTATTTAAGAAAAACTGTGCTTGTGTTCATGGTACAACTAGAAAGTAAGTGGGTATAGACAAAGTACTAGCTGTATCATAAAGATAAGGAAAATAATAGGGGTATATAATAGAAGAAAAGTATTGAATATAAAGGAAGAATACAGTCTATAAGGGAAGAAAATATTGTGGGTAACAGACATAAAAATAATGGTCCTGAAAGTAGAAATGACTGCCTTCCAAGAAACAGTGGCAATATTCTCAATATTTTATTAGTGCAGCATTATTTCAAATTCAAATATTTTTTAAAACTTCCTGCTTATATTTGGAGACTTAAAAAATATATATATTGTACAAATAGACTAGATAGTAAGACTTGTACATACAGACTGGAGAGTAGGACTTTATTGAAATTTTCCCATATAAAAATGCAAATTTACTTGGTTTGAGAAGTTTCTTAGGCATTATGATATGGTCATTGATAAGGTTAAAGGGGATGATCACTGTATCCAAAGTTCCAGAAAAACCCTAGAAACAAGACACAGATACTAATTTTAGAGATACCGATTTTAAAATTAAGTTCATTACTTTTTTATTTGTTAATTGAGCATTTGCATTATTATGAGGGAAAGCACTGATATAATGTTAGGAAACACCTAGTCCGTACTCTAATTGAGCTTATAGGTCAGAGGTATTAGTGGATAAATAAACCAGAAATTAAGTTACTGTGAGATATGTGTCAAAGTGGATGAGAATGTAGGCTCTTTTTTTTTTTTTTTTTTTGTCTTTTTCCTTTTTATCGGTACCGGGGATCGAACTCATGACTGCCTGCTTTCAAGGCAGGCACTTATGCCGCTGAGCTAAACCCCCAGCCCCAGAATGTAGGCTCTTACAGGAATCTAAACTTCGCTCATTTCCAGAGAGGAATGAGTAAAGCTTTTACAAAAGTTTTCCTGATTAAAATCAACCCTGAGAGATGAATCAAGTGGGAAAGTTGAAGGGAAGTTCAGTCATATGAATGAACACAGCTGTGAAGACCAGGAGGGAAGACAGAGTGTGGGGAGCTCTGCGAGTCAAAGTTAACCAAATCAATTCGCCTTTGGATTAAGTGGAGATGTTCTTGCCCTATTCTTTTAGTCTTAGACTATGTAAGAGCAAAGTAAGTGATTCCCTTTTTATTTTAATGGCACAATTTGTTTGCGTTTCTAAAAGGAAATACAGCCAAACACATTTAAGGGTTTCTAGTCCTGTTTTATCATCAGAATCTTGATAACTTGGAACTAAAAAGTTTGACTGAACTTCTGCGGCTCTTTGTAAATCACACTGCCCTTCAAACACATTGAAGGACAGTGAAGGGGCTGACACGTACGTAGACAGTTCTGAAGATGCTGCAGCTCTCTCTGTTCTGCTTGTTACTTAAGAGGAGAGGTAGGAATCAGATTATTCTCATGTTCTGAGTGTTTTGGTTGAAGAGGTAAAGTGTTTGACTTGAAAGCGTACAAATTTTCATCTACTACTTAGTGTACAAACTTGATTACTTAAGAAACTGAGTAATGGCCTCCAGTGGAATTTTTTTAAAAAGCAAAGTCAAGGATACTATTTAGGTCAGAGGGAGACATTGAATATTGTATGAATTTATTAATCTTGTAGGCACAGTGTTATGCTTTAAGGTGTGCTGTAGCAAGAGACTATGGAATAAGTTGTACAAACAGACTAGGTTCTAATTTCAGTAGCCAGGTATACTATTTGAGTATATGCCACGGAAAAAGGATGCCACTGAGCTCATTGCACCCAGTTCTGGGGACTAAACCCAGGGCCCTGCACATGCTAACGACATGATCTGCCACTGAGTTATACTCCTAGCTGAGCTCATTGTTTTTCTTACATTATTATTTCAGAAGGATGTGCCTAAGCTTGTCTATATAAAACTAGCATACTACCACTTGATCAGGCCTATGCAGAGGTTACCTATCATTAGTTCCAAAAGCATGTCCATGACTGATATTGGCTCACAGTTTATCGGACTAAGAGAACACTGAGGAGTCTGGTTATAGGAGCTTTAGGTCTGACAAGGATAACTGAGGGCATGATCCACCCAGGCCTTAGAAAACTTCGGGGTGAGACAGTCCAGCACCCTGGATAGCTCCGGCAATAGTTTCTGAGGGTAAGCAGTGGTGTTTCTAAGACCCTGAGGCTCATTTAACTGGCTCCATCTATTTTGTGGAGCTCTGTTCAAAAAAAAAAAAAAACTCAGTCATTTTAGAATTGGATACTCACCATTGTTCACTTATGATGGATTTGTTTTCACATTTAGTTTCACATTGAGGTACTCATGTCTGGAAAGGGCTGGAAGTGTAGGCTACTTTTTCAACACATGACTGTTTTGTCTCAGTGATCCTCTCAGAGATATGACCACATATGCACACAAAATTATTAGGTATTTATTCTCCACATGTCCACACTGTCCACATTTTCCCTTTGTAGTCTGGTCTTCATGCAAAAACAGGATAGATCTTATAATTAATCAAATTAGATGATCTTGAGGTTAAAACTCTTAATGCACTTAGAGTAAAGCCTTTTGTTGCCTCTAAACATTATACATATTTATGGTTCTGCTTTCTTTTCACCTATTTACCATTATATGTATACATTTTTCTTGGCTATTGTAATAAAATAATCATGGTAGTGCATATTTGTTTGATATACTGATATTATTTCTTTTGCATATATAACCAGTAACAGGACTGCTGGATCATGTGGTAGTTATATTTTTAACTTTTGAGGAGTCTATCTATTATTTTCCATAATTTTTCTAGAGATAGCCCTTGCTTAATGACTTAACTATAAAATGACTTTACAGACTTAGGATAGAGGCACAGTGTTTGAACTTACAAACCATCATTTTTTGTACAGTTTGTACATCTTCTTCATAGACTTTCAGTAATTTTTTTACAGTAAACCTTGTTTATACAGTTATGTGATTTTTTCAGTACAGTACTATAGTTTTATGTTCTGTTATA